TTGCTTTAGGTTCGCAAGGCATTGTGGTAAAATGTACAGCCGCCATTTTTTTTCCTACGGTGGATTGCAACAAACGTAAAAGAACGCAATGAAGGACTTAACAACAGGCGCCAAGCGCGGGAAAACAGGTAACTAGCACTAAGCGCGGGAAAACATGAAACCGCGGGCGCCAAGTGCAGCAAAACGTGCAACAGGTGTTAAGGATGTGAAAGTTTTCAATAGCGCTGACTGCAGGAAAACGCAGTTCATTGGAAATATATTTTGTATAATTGCTTAGAGAGCGCGACTTTAACCAATTGGAAAGGCATGTATGTTTTTTCGTAAATCGCTCTATTACCTTATTATCCTCTTCATTTTTGTCTTGTTCATCTCGCTCCTTCTGTTCATCTCGATCAGTTGTTTCATTCAGTACATATTCGTCTTGTTCCTCATCGTGTAAGTCATCTTGTCCCTCATAAGGCTCATTTGCTTCATCTTGTTCACCTTTATCTTGTTCGTCTGGGTCATCTCGCTCACGGGCTCGCTCCCTTGCTTCATATTGTTGTTCTTGCTCATCTAGTTCATCTTGTGCGTCTGGTTGATCTTCAAATGCTAGGCGCTCTTTTTCTAATTTAAACGCCATTGCAAGGTAAATGAGCAAGATGAACGCAACTGCCACCCGTATCATTACTGATAATTTTTCTTTGTCTGCTTTTTCTCTGTCAAAAAAACATCACGAATGAGACCTTCTAGTCTAAAGAAATTCTAAATTAATGAAAGCCATGTATTTCTTTTAATTTCGTAGTTCTTTGAATTTGATGATTACTCAAAGCATTAACCTACAAAGTACTCTACAACGTCTTATATGGCGAGGCTCAGTCCCGAAGTGCGCGCAGCTCCTTACCAGCCCTTTTGTATACCATTTTGACAGAAAAAGTATCCCTTTCGTATGCCTTTAATGATTGAAAAAAAATACCAGTTTCACCCTAATTTCATAACTAACCTGGTATTATTAATAAATCGCCAAAAAAGGAAATCTTCTTGTCATTTTCATGTAATGCTTAATAAATTAAATGATACAGCCATAAAGTGCGTTTGTTAAAGACCCTTTCAATTAACTAAATGACAGATTTCCCTACCCTTTCATATACCTCAACTTGTGGAATCCCTGACCCTTTTATATACCTGAAACCTGAAAAAGGTAACCCTTTCGTGCGGCCAGTCTCCCTAGCTTCATACACATAGGGTGCACCTGGGGGCATCTTAACTGCTAGCCCCGTAACGATAGAATACGCACGACGGACTAAGCGAAAGAGGGACTACTCGAAGTCTACTTAACGAAAGCTAGCACTGCCCGGCAGACTATTGAGGTAACAAAGAATTCAAGTTATCAATGGCGTGGCAATGGCTAGCTGTTTTTTTTACGAATTGAATCCTTGCATTCCGACTAAGGGTGTCTATGCTCAGATTGACCAAACCTTTGAGATTTCAACTTAGAAATTTACTTTTATTATGAAAAATGCGACCAATTTTCATAAAACGGTTGAAACCGTTACGAATCGGCGCTTGATTCGTCTGGGTAAATACGAGACGAGTAAAACCAGTAACGAATTTATCTGAACTATACTAATGAATCCAGTCAGCTAAAATTTGTAATCATGCAACCAACAGTCTCTCACACCAATTAAGCTTTGTTTGTCAGCACTAAAATTTGATACGTTCCGCTCGTATTAAAATGTGAAAAAGAAAAATGTGAAAAAAAAAATTCAACTTACTTACAATCAAAAATATTTCAAGTTTCTTCGGTTTTGTTTCCAGAATGAAGACGGGGGCAAACGCTCTTAAGCTCTTAAAGAAATATGTTTAACATCCTTCTTATCCACTGTTATCCAGTAGGCTTGCTAAATTAATTTTAACAATTTTAAACTTTTTGTTGACATATAAATTACCTCTTGTAACTGTCTACAGATTCGTTTACCTTGTATGACGTTCTTTTCAAGCCTTTCAGGCTTTTCTTCGCAATTCTCTTCCTTCGTTTGCCTAAGTAACATAGACTACGACTATAAAAAATTAGATTAACGGTTCAAAATTTCAATTCTTGTTCCTGAGAGCCATGTATTTCTTTTAATAGTTTAGAGGATATGGTGATACATCGTTAACCTTTTTCTTATTGTCATGTGTCATCTTAAACATATCGTTAGAGAAAGACAATGCCGTTCGTAAAACTGGCCTCGAGTCCTTTTCATTGTCATATTATTCGGGAAAGATTGATCCAAAAATGCGTTGAAACTGATATGAAAAAATTTAATACTGCTGCAAGTGATATTATGCCGCAAGTTTAAGAA